ATCAGTGTGTGTGTGTGTGTGTGTGTGTGTGTGTGTGTGTGTGTGTCCACAGGGGACGTGCTAGAGCTGTGTGTCTATCAGTGTGTGTGTGTGTGTGTGTCTATCAGTGTGTGTGTATGTGTGTCCACAGGGGACGTGCTAGAGCTGTGTGTCTATCAGTGTGTGTGTGTGTGTGTGTCTATCAGTGTGTGTGTATGTGTGTCCACAGGGGACGTGCTAGAGCTGTGTGTCTATCAGTGTGTGTATGTGTGTGTGTGTGTGTGTGTGTGTGTGTCTATCAGTGTGTGTGTCTGTGTGTCCACAGGGGACGTGCTAGAGCTGGGGTTCTCCGGGAACATCGTGAGTACGGAGGACATGTGTCCACAGCTCATCTACAAGACCAACGTGCCCACCGTGGTGAGTGGGGGGGGGTGTCTGGTTGTTTGTCTGTTTGTCTGTTTGTCCGGTTGGTTGGTTGGTTGTTTGTGTTTGTTCTGGTATGTGTTTTACGGCGCTCTCATGAGGTTGTATGAGCTGGCGGGACACATTCAACAGTTTTAGTTGGGAAGAAATTAATTCTGAATTTTGCCCCGGTGGCGGCCGAAGCCCACTCTGGTCGATTTTGGACCAGCGAGGGATGTTTAACAGGAGCAACTTGCGCACAGGCTCTCCGAGATTGTTCGCCCTTATCCGAGAAGGCTAGGTGTTAGATCTTACCAACCTAAGATCAGGAATATGGGGGTGACAGACAGCAGTAAGAAGGAGCCAAGGAGTTGTAGACAGAGCCCGGAGCCCAGAGGAGGGGACAAAGGTGAGGGGGGGGGGGCAAAAAGTGAAGACGAAAGCAGACGACAGAACTCTGTTAGAGATCAGATTTTAGATGTCAAAATGATTTATTGATTTGCAAGGCCTTTGGCCCATACATCCACACACTATAACATATAGTGAGGCAATTACATACATTGGTGCAGCACATCCGATAGTTTACATAAATTGTACACGCACGCACGCAAGCACGCACACACACATGCACGCACGCACACATGCACACATGTGCACACACTTACACACATACACACACACATACACACATACACACATACACACATACATACATACATAAGATATAGATATATATATATATATATATATATATATATACATGCATATACGCACATACATCTAAAGGCGTGTTTCGTCATCAGTTTGTATTGCGACAGATGGTAGCTTTTAAGGACAAGCGGGCTAACCCAGATTTGGGGGATTTCCAGAAATCTTGACCTACAGCAAAAGTGGGCATTGCCCTACCTATAGGAGAAGTTTGGTTTCATTGGTGTGTAGATTTGTTTGGTTTTAGAGAAAACTCTCCTTGTCTTTTAAAGAAACTGAACAAGGGGCAAAAACTTTACCTTCGATTTTCTCAAAACAGCATTATTGGGGATAGCCCCCTTGAGCCTAAAAGCGACCAGATAGCACTTATTCTAGAAGTGAGCATGAAACAACACACGTACACACCCATTGACACGCGAAAACGACGTATTTCGGGTAGATAAGATCACACAGAACTAGAAATGCCACACAGTGCTATGAATGAGACAGCGAGAGAAATCGGGACAACTTTCCCTCTGAGAAGTGAATACAGATTGCCATTGTCATCTCCATACATAGGTGCCTATAACACAGTACATAGTGGTGTAAATACAGAGTTACATAATAATATGTGAATGAATCCCTTTTCCCTAGGTCAGACGTGCCGTATAACGTAATGTAGGAAAGATATTCTGCTTTTAGAATAGACTTCATCTGAACAGACCAATATGCCATTATTGAGCTTAGACATTGGCCCTTCGGGAGTCTGAAGTCTGAGGCACTGCGAGAACCGTCGCTGTCGTGTCTCATTCTATTGGGAACAAGTGAACAATTCTCGGAATTCTTTCTCTACTTTATGAATACTTTTCCTCTCACTGGAGGCCAGGGTTACCGGCGACAACACCCAACAGGAACAGACTATTGCTCAGCGACAGACTGAACGTTCTGAGTAATGCCAGGACCCACCTGGACCGGGCCCTGTCTGTGACCTACTGACCTACTTTCTGATTGTGCCTACCGTCGGACAAATTAAAGATTGTTTTAGTTCATTGTTCAATATTAGCCAAATGTATCAGCCACATGTATTAGCCACATGTATCAGCCACATGTATTTGAGTATATGTAAAAAGAGGGGAACTAAAGACCTTTCTCAACATGCTGCTAAAAATGATCATTCTTCAGCCTAAGAGTTCAGATTGGATTATGACAAAAGTAGGTGTAGACAGCCGTGGGACACAGTGGTCACACGATTGAGTATGTTGAGTAGGTGTTTTACGGCACTATCGACTCAATTCTGGTCACATAAGTGCCCGGGTCACACGTGCCATGAAATACGGCCAGCTGGAGGGAAAGAGTTCACGTAGGACGGACGTCCAGGCACCCAGGAGGACGTCAGGAGGACGTCAGGTGGACAGAGAGCAGGATAGAGAGTGAGAGGAGAACATTTTAGAGCAGAAGATTTTCCGTCGCTGTCAGGTTTCGAACCTGGGACCTATTGAATGAGAGGCGAAGAGCGTAGCCTCTAGACAATGAGAGCCCCCGTGGGTTTGTTTGTTTGTTTGTTTGTTTGTTTGTATGTCTGTCTGTGTCTGTGAGTGCGCCTGTCTGTTTGTTTGACTGATTTTTCGTTTTTGGGGTTTTTTGTTTTGTTTGTACGGCTTCCCACAATGTCTCTCACAATCTCTCTCACAATGTCTCTCACAATCTCTCTCACAATGTCTCTCACAATGTCTCTCACAATCTCTCTCACAATCTCTCTCCCAATCTCTCACAATGTCTCTCACAATGTCTCTCACAATGTCTCTCACAATGTCTCTCACAATCTCTCTCACAATCTCTCTCACAATCTCTCTCACAATCTCTCTCACAATGTCTCTCACAATCTCTCTCACAATCTCTCTCACAATCTCTCTCACAATCTCTCTCACAATTTCTTCCACAACGTCAATCACAACAGCCCGCCAAAAATGTCTCCCACAATTTCCCCCACAATTTCCCCCACAATTCCAGCACAATCTCCCTCACACTCCCCCTCACACTCTCCCCCACACTCTCCCCCTCACAATCTCCCTCACACTCCCCCTCACAATCTCCCCCACAGAGGTACTTTCGGGTGACAGAGGAGAACAAGTTCCGGCAGAAAGAGCAAGGCTTCTACAGCGGCCTCCTGCTGCTCTCCGCTACCACAGACAC